TAACAGCTCTGTGTCTAGTGTTAAAAAAATCTTTGCTAAGAGTTTAGTATGGACGTTAGTGTTGTAGTCAAGAACAGACTAACCGAGCCCAAGACATACCTGAGACCAGACCGAGACATTTAGGGGTTGAGACCGAGACCAAGACTAAGACCATAAATATCTCTGAAAAACCATTATCTTGTGTTTAAGGGGTGTGCCACTGTAATACCTGGAAGGTTGCGACCGTAAACGGGGGGATAAAAATCAAACAATCTAATCACAGTATAGCCTGTCAGTGGTGGTCTTGATTTAAAATCTGGAGTTCGTCCAGTTCCAGACCGAGACAAGACCGAGCAAAAATGCTTTCGATTCCAAGACGAGGCTGAGACCTTCAAAAAGTGGTCTCGCGACTCCAAGACCCACTTCAACTTGCAGTGGTGGTGCTTTTCTTCACGATGTTGAGTCATGTTTAGTGCGTACAGTCTTATCAGCTCCAAACAAAGCCCTGTTTGTTTCACATTATGGCCTCATAAAAAAGTCATATGTTACAACAGCTTCAAACAGTGTGTGTGGAGAACGTTACAGGGCTGCTGTCATGTTGGAGACTTCCTACAGGACACGCCACGGGCTACAGAAGATTTACTGTGAGTACATGAGCTGTCTGTTCTGAGTGATGTATGACTTCACCGTCCCAGGTGAGGGAGGACTTTTACTGTAGATGGAACATAGATGAGTCAAGATGTACGAGGTAATGGACTTCTTTAATATTGGATAACTCGCCGTCTGTGTCTGTCTCAGCTCTCAAAATGAAACATTGATGGCCTCAGTTTGATTTAAGTTAAGGGTGACATGACGTCCAAAAGAAGCCGTCTCATTTAAACTTGGAACAGCTACCTCATGAACCCACAAAGAAACCTCCACAAAGACACACAGAAATGTTGCACCAGAAGGAGCAGTGAAAGGAGTCAACGTTTTCCAGACATCAATGGAACTTCAGCATCCAGGACAGCCAACATACAGGTGTGTGTGTGTGTGTGTGTGTGTGTCTGTGTGTGTGTGTGTGTGTGTCTGTGTGTGTGTGTGTGTGTGTGTGTGTGTGAGAGAGAGTGTGTAACCCAGACATAACCTGTGTGTGACTCTGCAGCTGAAACAGATGTTGTCTGAGGTGATTACAGAAATAACTCGCTGTGTGTGTGGACTCAGCAGGTGTCACCTCCGTTCCTCTGCTTCCTTCCAAGTCATGTGTGTGTGTGTGTGCGTGTGTTTGCATGTGTGTGTGTGTGTGTGTGTGTGTGTGTTAGGTCCTTTAAGGATGTCCCTTGACAAACAATCTGCCACCCATGCACACTCTGCAGCAGCTCCTGTAATGCTCTATTGTTATTCTGAACTCGTGCTCTCAGTTTAACCTCAATAACACAGGTACAGTGTTTTTAATTAGGATATATGTTTAGTAACAGATTCATGATAAAGATATCGACCTTGTTTTAATGAGATCTTTTCGGACGGTGATGCCAGCCTCTGATATCGTACTGCTCAAATGAGAGAAAATACTACAATTCAAAAAATATTCAATATTGGGAATACGATATGTACTGCGATAAATTAACTAAAAATAAAAAGAGCGTATTTGCTATGAAGCAACTTTCTTTGTCTATCTGCTGTTCTTCATTCACCTCCAACACCAGAGGGTCTCTCAACTGGTAGGTCGAGGATTCGATCCCCAGCTCCTGCAGCAACATGTCCGATGTGTCCTTGGGTAAGACACTTAACCCCAAGTTGCTCCCACTGCTTTGTCGGCGGTGTATGAATATGTATGAATGGGATTAGTTCCTTCTGATGGTCTCACTATTGGCACCCACTGCCATCAGCGTGTGAATGGGTAGGTCTGACATGCCCATTCACACCCATTCCTCCCAAATGGTAAATGGACTTGGGCTTGTACAGCCCTTTTCTAGTCTTCTGACTACTCATTCAAACCTTTATTTAAGCCTTGAAAATCACTGAGGTTTCCCTCATTTACAATGATGTCGAGATACAGATAAAAAAAAAAAAAAGGCACAAATAAAACAATAAAGACAGGTCAGGATAATTCTCATTACAAACAATTACACACTGTGGTAAAGTGGTTTGAGATCATTGTCTTAATCTGCCCAAGAGAAACAAGAGTGTCAATCTTGAGAGAGTGTTGTAAATTGTTCCACATTTTTGGAGCTTAGAAGCTAAAAGCGGATTTTCCAAGTTCAGAGTTAACCACGCGGGACTTGGAGCAATAGATAGTCAGTAGAGCGAGTGTGGTAGGGGCCGATGGTCCAGTTCAGAAGAGATGTTATATAAGATGGTGTACGTCCAATAACAGATTTATAAATAAAGACATACATGTGATTATCACTCAGAGCACTGGAGTTTGCAACATGTCCCTCCTAAATCGAGAATAAATCACATTTTTCTTCACCACCAGTTTATCTGAAGGTATCAAATGGCTACTTTTAGCTTCATCCGACCCTGCTTCCCTCCAACAAGTAAAATGTACACGAGCTGAATGAGAAAGCATTGCTTGACATAAACCTAGCCCTAATTCAAATGCTATGCATGCAAGTGATTTCCAGAAATGCCACATGAGGAAAAAAAGTGCATCATACAAATCATATCATTTATCCATTCATGCAGATCAAAAGCTGAGGTGATGAAAACTGGGTGAATTTAAAAAATGAAGAGATGAAATATGAAGTGATTTACTTCCTCCCTTGAGGGCCCTTTTCTGACATTATCAAATATTTGTGTGTGTGTTATGATGAATGAAAAGTATTCTAAAATCATTAACTGTGATTTTGACCTCAAACTAATCAAATCACTTAATTATTTATCAGGTTTATTTTTTTAATTCACATGCATTCCTCACCTCTGCTTTCCTCATCTAATCTTTGTTCCTTCCATCCTTCATACATATGATGCAGGTGACAATTTAAAGTAGAATCCATGCTAACAGGTAACTCTCACCTGGACTGACTGGTTTATAACCTGAGCGTTAAGGAAGACATTCACTGGATGTTGTCTGATCAGCGCTCGGAACTTTTCAGTACAACTAAAAGTCTCGTTTGGACACGTTGAACTCAGCAGCTGCAGTCACTAAAGCGTCGCAATCAGACGTCTGAATCTTCTCTGGTCTGATGCCTTCGAATCAAACAAGTCAACACAGACTGCAGTTTGATGTTTAACACCTTAAACCTGCAGGTAGACGTGTGTGTGTGTGTGTGTGTGTGTGTGTGTGTGTGTGTGTGTGTGTGTGTGTGTGTCTTACCTGTTGAATCCCAGACTCTCCCGTGTGCTTGTTAGTGGTTTAGTCCAAACAGCAGAGTGCCTCCCTCACCATCCACCTTCCATCTGCAACAAGTAAAAAGTAGATCCTGAGTTTAAGGAGGAGGAAAAGAAAATAACCCCCCCCCCCTCCCCCGGCTCCTCCCCTCGACGGGTGCAAAGTTCAACTTCCTGGTGTGCAGGACGGAGCGGCACGCTGTCCAAGGGTTGATGTGAGTGCTGAGGAAAGTAAAAGGACAGGAGTGGGCTTATAATGGGATGTTCTCTGCAGCGGTTATTGTACACCTCGCTGGCTCAGGGAGCAGCACTGAGGAGACAAAGAAACTGGTTCTGCAACTTCACCAGATCAGAGCAGAGCAGCAGGAGCTTTCAATGAGTCAATGAATGAATGCACTTAACCCACTCACACAGACAAGGAGCTGCCGTGTAGCAACATGTACATGCAGCAGGGGAACATCAGGGCTGCTGTGTGGAGACATTGTTGCAGCCATTACGACATAAGTGTAGATGAAGGGTGTGCACCTTGGAAGGGAGTCAAATAAAAACTAATAGACTGTGAGTTGATTTAATATGTTTCACTGACAATCAGATGTAAATAACAAACATAGGCAGCAGGATTTCTGTGTGAAATTTCATGTTTGTTAATTTAAAAAAAAAAAGCAAACAGAGTTTAATGAAGCGGGAAACCGATCAATGAAATGTGAAACCAGCGACTACTATATGGAGTGGAACGTGCGAATGATCCAGATCCAGAACAACATCTCTGGGGTGAGGAGTCAAAATTTAAGAATGATTAAGGGCTGAGGCAACTTTTAAACTCAGTACTTTACAAAACAAGAACAAAAAGACAACGATGTCTTCTATTACTGAAATGAAATGATCTTAAAAGTTGAATTTCTACAAAAGAAAGAGAACTGTTTTCTGATTTTCATCAGCTCTAAAACTAAGTTATAAGACTGTTATTGGGGCGCAGTGGTTGGTGCGCGCCCCCCATGTATAGAGACTATAGTCCTCCAGGTGGGTGGCCCGGGTTCGGGTCCGACCTGTGGCTCATATCCCGCATGTCATTCCCCACTCTCTCTCTATCCACTGTCCTATCTCCATAAAGGCTCACAAAATAAGGCCAAAAAAAGCTGTTATTAATTTCATGATGTATTCATTTAAACTTTAATGTGCTGTATTGTTCATTTTTTAATAGATTCAATATATTTGTAGGTGTAAACTCTTGTATTTATTTATTTTATTAATACTTTACTTGCTCTTTTCTTTCGAGCTCTTGTAACATTTTAATTTCCCAATAGGGAACTAATAAAGATTAATTTTATTATATACACGAAGGTCCATATCATCATAAAACACAAAATATATATAATTAAATTGAAAGACAAAAATATCACAACAAGGAATAAAATCATTACAGCTATAAGTATGATTAAAAAGTATGAAGACAATTTATCCACCAGATTAAACACCTTGTGTCAGTGTGGGCTAATATATTAATAATCTACTCATTAATTAGACCATAAGGTGTTTAAGTACTGCATAAAACATATATTAAAACATAAACATGGCATATTAATACATTAAAAGCTATCGTCCTTTATGAAATATTTACTGATCTCACTCTCTTTATTGTGCGTGTAATTCCTCCTCCTGCCACTGACAGTGAGTGGCGCTGTGACTCACCGGGCTGATTATCAGTCCGTTTCATTCGTTGTCAGGGGAACAACTTCCGCTGCTTCCTGGTGTTTGCTAGCTGCATTTATTTTTTAAACTACAAATGAGGAATATTATTCCATATTCCGACAGAAAGCGACTGAAATGCACATTTTGTTTTAGATAATTGTTTCCGTGAGTTTATCGTTTTTTTGCTTGGTTGTTTTGGCGCTGACTGTTAGCTAAATTGAGCATTTAGCAGTTTGTAGGCTAACGAAAAGGACTACAGGACTACAGTAGTGACGTCCTGCTGTGTGGATAAGGACTTTTTATCCGGAGTTTTTTCTCTCTGTCAAACTTTGGCCTCTTGATATTAATATTTTATCATGAACATATCTTCCTTTTTAATACATTAGAGTCGGAAATCGTCTCTCTAATGTCCGCTGAAGATGCCCTTAGCTCCTGCTAATCAGTCTCAGTTGATTCGCTCGAGTCAGAAGGACGAATTTTATCAAACCTTCCTGAGAAACAACGCCAACGAAACTTTTCAGACTCTTGCTGGTGAGAAAACGACAAACTTTTTTTTTTTTTTCTTAAAGATGCGTACTTTACTTTTGCATGCTCTCCACTTGCTGTGCCCCTCACCTGTAGATCAAGATTCGTGTTCACCTGGGGGGGTTTCACCTGACATGTTAGGCTCGTGCATTACCTGACCAGTTAATGGGTTTCACAGTTAGTTGATAAAAGGGTTGTCATGATACTTAAATTTCGATACTGTACTAAATCAAATCAAACGATATCGATATCGATACCAGTGTTTTTATACAGCTGCTACAAAAAGTCACTGACTGACTGAACTCTCTTGTTTCGATTATCAAAAATTGCAGATACAAACGGTCATAATTGTACCAATAGACGTTCAATCAATCAATCAAACTTTATTTATATAGCACCTTTCAGACAAATTAAATTGCAGTTCAAAGTGCTTAACAAGAGTGCAGAAAAGTTATTGACAAAAAGTAGTTTATAAAATCATTGAGAGACCAATGCACACCAATAAGAATTAAAAATAAAATATATGTATAAAAATAAAATACGACACATAAAAGCAACAAGATATTAAAATAAATATATAAGAGGAAAATATTTAAAATTATAGTTGGATAAAAAGACAATACAGTAATGTTAAGATTTTAATTGATATAAAACACTATATAAAAGCCAGACTGAATAAATGAGTTTTAAGACTGCGTTTAAAAAATCTCGATATTCGTTGCCAACTTATTTTAGCAATTTAGACAGGTGTGCAGGTGTTTGTACGGTGGCCCTGAAGGTAAACTGCATGAGTATTTCATGAAAAAAATGTAGCCAGACATCCCAAAACATTTCACTTACTGCCAAAAAATATTTCAACTTCTATGAAAAGTACTATAACTTCTGCCAAAAAAAATATTTCAACTTCTATGAAAAGTACTATAACTTCTGCCAAAAAAAATATTTTACCTCCTGCAAACATATTTCATTATCTGCAACAATAATTTCAGGAACCAGAAAGGGTAAAGCTATACTAATTTATCTTAGGGCTTTTATGCCCCTACCTGGATAGGACAGTGGCAAGAGTGAGGAGAGAGAGGGAGGGATGACGTGCGGGAAAGGAGCCCCAGGTCAGACTTGAGCCGGGGCTTCCTGCTAGGAGGACTATAACATCAGTGCACATGTGGTGTGACCTACTCGCTAGACCATCTGTGCCCCGCACTATTTGTCCATTTATCACTCTTTGTATCATCATCGTAATGTTGAACAATGCTATCACACGTTGACTACTAGTCTTATGACACACAGACCTAGTTTGTGGTAAAGAGTAGCTGTGTGATGTTGAGATATAATAATCATGGTAATGTTATGCAGAGAGACAGGTGTGGAAGTTTAAGGTAAAAAGAAATGAGCTCCTTATCATCAAAATGAAAGCTTATTTTTGTTTGTTAAAGTAAAGAAGCAACTGTTTGCTCTTCTTGAACCACCTTGTCTTTGCATGAAATGTAACACCTGATGGTAATATTAAAGTTTGTTGAATTTATTTCTCTTTCTCTCTCTCTTTCTCTCTCTCTCTCTCTCTCTCTCTGTGTGTGTGTGTAGGATCGAAACGATGGCTGGACTGGAGGAGAGAGATAGAGCTGCTGTCAGACCTTGCATACTACGGTTTAACAACATTCTCAGGTACTTGTTGACAATAACCAGCAGGAAATCATATTCTCTTCACATGTGTTTTACTAGTTTTCTTTGGTTGAATCTTCTCTCCAGGTTTTCAAACTCTGGGAGAAGAGTATGTCAACATCGTCCAGGTGGATCCCACTAAACGTCGGATCCCGTCCCGGGCCAGACGAAGCCTCTTAGTCCTCTGTCACGCCTTCTTCCCTTACCTCCTGGACAAGGTCCTGATGTGCCTGGAGAACGAGCTAGAAGCTGGGCAGGAGAGCGCCGGTGGTGTCAGTCGGCGGCAGGCGGCGTCCTGGAGGTGGAGCTTGGAGTCGTGGCTGAAGAAGTGGATGCAGCACGCCGTGGGGCTGCTTTCAGAGCCGCAGAGGAAGGCGTGTGTGCCGGTGGTTTTTGTCCTCCAGCAGAGTCTGACCCTCCTCCACCGCCTGCATGTGGCGCTGTTCTACGTCAGCGGCTCCTTCTATCACCTGTCCAAGAGAGCGGCTGGTATCAGCTATGTAGGTGATCATTTACATGCTTCTCAAACATCGTACATACTAGATGATTAAACCCATCTTAAACATTGTTTCTAAAGAAGACATACATTTATGCAAATACATAAGTAGACCAAGTCGTACACTGACGTATTCAACCACGTCTGCATTCATCATTTGGAGGAAGACAGGTTATACACACATCACCTAGGTGCACACAATGGTGGCCAAAGAAAAAATGTTGAAACCAGATGTTTAATTGTGGTGTTTCAAATGGTGGAAAAGGTTTGCAGTTTTGCCTCTTTTGGCCTTAACTTTACAGAGCAAGCTGCTCGGTTTTAGTTTAAGTTTGCCTCTTTTTGTTATATTTATATTGAGGAAAGTGATATCGCTATAGTTATCGTTTGAGTACCCAGGTCTGTGTGTCATGCTAAAACTCCTGCAGTCTGAGCCAGGCTTTAGACCTCTCTTTGGAGTTACAGGATGTTTAAATCCCCTCCTCTTCAGTGGCTCAAAAAGTACCTGAAGAAGATCTCTGGCTGAACACTGTCATTTAATGAACTTATTTTGTAGCTTTGAGTTAGTGTGAGGGCACATCTGTCTTCTCTATCGCTCTAAACATCAGGAGACATGTCTGTAAGTAAAGGACCATGTGATCTGAACAGCTGTTGCTCCTTTGTCTCTGCCACTTTGCTGTCACGAGGCGATGGATGGCAGTTTGTTAAATATGTAGCGAGGGGGTTTTAGAGATTTGTCTGTAGGGCTGAACTTTGAGAAAACCCTGACATCATATTCTGAAGAATTTTCCGTGTTTTTTTTTCTGTTTGTGTGTTTAGCTGCGTGTGATTGGGCGGGACGGCGATGACGCGACCATCAGCAGCAGCTACCGGCTGTTGGGAGCCGTGTCCCTCCTCCAGCTGCTCATCACCGTGTGTCTGCAGCTCAACAACTTCCGGCAGAGACAGAGAGCCAGGCAAGAGTGGAAGCTCTACAGAAACCTCAGGTACTGAACCAGAACTAGACCCAGACCTGAAGACGAGGCTGTATTGATTCAAGAAGCTGTCGATGTAAACCACCATCTCTAGCTTGTCTTTTGGAGAATTTCCATGTTTCATCCTTGGTTGTATTTTTTACATATTTTGGGGTCTGAGTGAGTCATGAGGTCAAAATGTCACAGAGTGCTCCAGTACAAAGCTTAATCTGGCAGACCCCGAACCTGCAGGAATGGCATATTTTACGAAATAGAAATTCTGGCAGCATTACAGAAAAGATTTCTACAGAGATGAGATGTTTTTTATGAACAAGATGCATCTCTGAGACCGAAAACAGCGTGGACACTCACTTTACAGCCACCAGACTCCCAATGGAGGCAGAGCCAGACGGACAAAACAGAATTAGAAATACTTTATTCATCCTTTTTGGGGGAGGGGGGGAATTTTGGCATTACAATAGCTACAACGCAGAATGTAAAACCAAAATCTAAGCATTAAAAAAAGAAATATGCAAATGTCAAATATATTTACAATAAGAAACAACAATAGAATCAAGAAGAATAATTGGGTATAGGACGTTTGTGTCAGGAACATCCTGACACAAATCAGCCACGTTTCAGTGAAGCATGCTGCACTCCACTTAAAGAAGTTTTTAGATACTAATCAAACAGGAGTAATAAAGAAAAAGGAGCAGATTAAACATAAATAAGGAGCGACTCTAACAGGCAGTTAGTTTTAGGCCTCTGAGCCTGCAGCACAAACCTCTTTATAAGTTAACATTATGAAGGTCATTTTACTCCCTTTGTTTTCACCACCTGCGGTTAAATAAAGGAGCGCTTTAAGAACAAACGACATGCACAGGTAGAGTTTAACGCTGACTCTGTGAACTGTGTGTCTCCAGTCCTCAGCGCACACAGAGCTCCAGCTCCAGAGCAGCTCGCTGCATCCTCTGTCTGGAGGAGAGGAGACACTCCACCTCCACCCCCTGTGGACACCTCTTCTGCTGGGAGTGCATCACAGAGTGGTGCAACACCAAGGTCAGTCCGAGGTCACCACCCTCACAAATCATCCTGTTTTTGATCTGCTGTCGTTTCAGTGGGAAATATTCTGAGGAGACAGTTGAAACGCCTTTTACCCCAAACTATATAAAAATATGTTCAGAGGAAAATCCAGTTTTCTAGATTGTAAAAATTTATGAACCTTGGTGTGAATTTGTCCGCAGCTCTCAGTTTGTACTCCAACATAATGTGTGTGTGTGTGTGTGTGTTTGTTTCTTACAGGCGGAGTGTCCTCTGTGTCGGGAGAAGTTCCAGCCTCACAGACTGGTTTACCTCAGGAACTACAGCTAGACCTGCAGAGTCTGATCACACACACACACACACACACACACACACACACACACACACACACACACACACACACACACACACACACACACACACACACACACACACACACTTATGGAGACATAAACAGCCAACATACCTTTGTGCTCTTTGATTCTTTTTTCCCGTTTAATTACCTCTTCAGATGTCGAGGACAAGCTGTTGATAGAGAATAAACTTTTTGATTGTATCAGTCATTTAATGTAAATAATGGGTTTAACTTAATTAAGGATTTAATTAAAACACATGCTTGTAAAAATCTGTGTATTGGATCTGTTATCTGTTTAGTATTTAAGGAATGTGACAGATATTAAGATTTTTTTATAACCTCAGTGCCTACAGGTGATTATGTTTGATTCTAAGTAAGGTCTAGTAAAATGCATCAAGGTGAAGTTTAAGAAGAGAAGTAGGTCTCCTACTAGAGAGACGTCCCATCGCTCCGTGTTCACACTAACACAGAGCGGCTAAATTCCTTTAAGTGTCTGAGCTGAACGTGTAGACAGGTTTATCATTTGTTCTTTAAACACCTCAGGCTCCAAATATCTCCGGAGATCTCTGCACACTCCCTTAAACTCGCTTTAAAAATCCCAATCAGAGAAAGGAAACCTCCACTGTCTCCTCAAAGCTAGATGACGCTCTGCTGGTGATTGATGCATGGCTTCTTTTCCCAGATAAGCTCCGCCTCCTGAGGCCTGACAAAGTCTGTCAAAGAGTGTAAGAGAGTAAAGGTCACATATTCTCCTCCTCTTTTTTAAATAAGTCTCAGAGCTCCTAAAAACGTGTGTGAAGTTTCTTGTTCTAAATCCACTCTGATCCTGTATTTGATCATGCCTATAAACCCCTCTATTTCAGCCCTGCTCAGAACAGGCTGTTTCTGTGTCTGTACCTTTAAATATGTAAATGAGCTGCGTCTGACCATGCCCCCTCTCTGGAAGGGCTTGGGTGTCTCTGTGCTTTCTCGCTCCATGTCCTATTGTTTACGGTGAGAAGGCAGACTCAGAGGGTAGAACAAACACCTAGCTGTGGGAGTGTCACCCATCTGGGGGAGGGGCTACTGCCCTTTGTGATGTCATGAAGGGAAAATCTCCAAACGGCCTGTTTGAGCACACGTTTTCTGAAAAGTGGAGCAGACAAAAGACGGAGAGGATGGACTTTTCTCATCATTGGTGGGTTTGTAGACGGACTAGAGACACATATTAGAGTTAGAGGAACATGGTGAAGTGGATTTTACAGAATATGTCACCTTTAATTTAAAGGCAAAACTGTCATGATAGTGTTGGTCTTGTTTTGTTTTTTTTCCCAAAATGCATGTGTGAAAGCGTCTTTAGTTCGTCGGCAAAGGCTCATTCATTCAGATGTCTTCAGGCGCTTCAGGATACACACACACAGAAGGAAGGAAGGAGAACAAAAGTTGGCAGCACATTCACATTTTTTTTGTACAGATTTCTGTTGATGCTCTCCGGTGATATATGGTGGGGATGTCAGTCAAATGTCTGGGTCTATAATCAAAGGCTTTTAAACCTCCCAAAAGACAACAGCGCTACAGAAGGCTGCTGCTGTCCGGACGTCTCTGAGCGTCTCCACAGACCGGCTGTAAACACGCCCTCAGTGTGTGTTTAACATCTGCTCCTTGATGTTTAGTGATGTTTTATCTCGATAAAAAATCCTGTCAGTGAGATCTCAGATAGATAAACTCTGCAATCACATTTAGATTGAGGCTGATTTCTTGAATCTTTTTGCAAATTTTATCATCCTGGAGAAATGTTTTAAAATAGATGCAGAAGTGTCATTCAGTGCAACTTGGGTTCGAATCCGACCTGACTGACTGAACCTGTGAATATAAAGGTGAGAATGTTCTGAAGTCAGATAAGTGTTGACGGTGAGCACATCCTGCAGACTCGCCTGAAACTAGCAGATGTTCTTTTTAGGAACTTTTGGATCCAAAACTCAACAAATGAACAACTTTCTGGAGCTTCCTCTCGGCCCACGCCAGCTGACAGCACTCAGAAGAGTTTACATCCAAACCCTCAGTCACAACACGCTGGTGGCTGACTCTCTCTCTCTCTCCTGTTGACACGCAGGCCGTTCACTTTCTCTGCTGTCCTCTTGGATAATCAGGATTTCTCTCCATGGAGGGAAACTTCCTGACAGAGGGAGCAGGCAGATGCTGCCGGCTGAGCGCTGATCCCTCAGCTCAGTCAGGTCTGTTACAAACATGAGATGATGGATCTCAGCATCAACAGGGGGGCGTTCAGCGGTGTCAAATGTTCAATTACACCCTGAAAATATGAAAACTTTTTATTCTACTTTCTACCATTGTCTTCTGAAGTTGTCTCAATTTGTGATATTTTCTGATAACTATACCAGGTGTTTTAAAATGACAGAATCTCCGTTATTTGAACGATTGATCGTGTCGAAAGGAGCTGAAGCTTTAAACTATTTAAAGATTTCTAGTCATTTTCAACCCAAAGCTGCTACATGCGAGAGATTCAAATTCACAGGTCGGCAAATTCTGACGTTTCTTGCTTTATTTTTGTGTCTTTTAAAAATATAGAAACAACAGTTATGTCTCTTACAAACAGAGAGCAGTGGAGGTGACACTGTCTAAAATGCACAAAGATTCTTGGATACCAAAACGTTGTTGGAGTATTTGTGTGATTCAGACCAATCGCCTGCAGGTTTGGGTGATTCTAAAAAGGTATCAAGAAGATTTACTTTATTGATTGAAATTTCAGTTTTTACACTCTGTAGTCATGAACACACACATAGGCTGAAGTATATATATACAGACATGCACACAAACAGGATCTTATGAACATGCATTAAGGAAGAGATGTCAGAGTGACGGACCACAGCGGGCGCTGTTGAGCTGATGGTGGGGAGGGGGTTTGGTGCCTTGCTCAAGGGCACCTCGGCAGTGCTTGGTCTGCACTGGGAGTTGAACCGGCGACCCTCTGGTTGCCAACCAGAGCTGTCGATGGTTTAAACTGTAGAAGAGCTCCATCTAGTGGACAGAAACAGAACAAGTCTGTGAAACACAAACATGGATTATTTTTGTTTTGCTGCAAATATTTCAGCGTTGGCTTGCATCCATTAGAACAGGGGTTCCCGAACTTTTTGACCCCTCGATCCCTGAAATAGGGATCGAGGGGTGTTTTCTATGTTTTCGGATGGAATCTTGCAACCCCCCTCTCAGTGTCCTGTGATCCACCAGGGGGTCCCAACCCTCACTTTGGGAACCACTGCATTACAATGTATCTATTAGTGAAACAAAATACATCAAATAAAAAGTCATGTAACTGATATTTATGGATGAAATGAGCTCAGAGTGACCAGAAAAAAGATCATTCCTGCACCTGAGCAGCTCTCTTAATGGCTAAGATGCTTTGTGAATAACTTTACAAAGATCTCGTCCAAATTTTTAGGAGAAATTCATAGAAAATGTCCTGATTCTAAGAATGTTCTTATAATTTTGTCACAAATGAGCAACACTTAGTACTAAGGAGGCTTTGTGAATACAGCCCCTGTTTCCCAACACGAGTCAGAGCTGTGAAGAGGAAGTTTTAAAATCTTGATTTCTCTTTATTTCTCAAACAGCTTGAAGCGAGGCTGCACGTTCCTCTACAAGACTAAATGATCATCTGAAGGTTTTTAATGTAATGTTCAAAGTCTCTGAGATGTAATTAGTATGTATCTCAGTTCAGGCGGTGACCATCTTCTTCATTTTCTGTTTCCATATATCCAGGCGACGATGAGCAAAGTGTTTCCTGACACCACGTACACCAGCATGGTGGTCCAGAAAGCAAACAGGTACAGCGTCCTGTCACAGTGTGGACCTGCAGCCTCCACATGAAGTCTCTGTGCTGCGTTCAGGTGCTCTCTGTTTGTCTGAGTGCTGCTGTTCCTATTGAGGGATAAACTCTGAATGAGCTGCATTAAAGTCTGGTTGTTGTTGTTGTTGGTCTTCCCGGTCAGGGTGAGGTTTGAATGGCTCTGATTCAGATTCTGATCTGAGGAGGAGTCAGGCTCGTTGTCAGCTGCAGACGGAGTAAAGATGCTGCTGTTTGAGCTCTTGGTGTAGTTAGGGGGATACATAGAATAAATCAGGTAACTACCTGTGGAGGGAAAGAGACGAATAAATGCATCTGAAGACAAAACAATCATGTCATCGAGAGAATGGAAAAAGTTTGTAAAATCTGCAACAGATATGGAACTTGATTTTCCTCTTTAATTCCACAACCAAAAAATCTAAATTATGCAGAGTTGCATCATTCCCTCAAACAGGGATAGTCACCTGCTGTGAGGTGCATGTATGCCAGCCAATTCATCAGTTTCAGGGACAGTCCTCCTGAGATTCTCTTGACATTTTCAGGAGTTCTGCGCATATGTGAAAATAGTTTAAGACTTTGCAGCCAGTGAAGCTGCCCCCTGCTGGCCTTTAGAAAGAATACAGATTGAGGGTTTTCTGCAAGGACTTCTCATTTGTAGCAAGAGGCTTTAGGTCCTCTTCTTCTTCTGTCTGTGATGTCTGAGAATGATAGTGATGCAGAGAGTCTCCAGCCTCACCGTAGAGGATCCATACGAAGGCGAACAGGACCAGGCTGAGGAGGCACACAGTCCAGATCCGACTGTGCGGTGCAGCCGGACAGACGAGCTTGTGCAGAGCTAGACCCATCAGCAGCACGGCCACGATCCCACACACTATCAAATACACGGGGATAAGTGGTGCAGCTGGACACTTGCGCAGGTACACCACACCTGTTCACACAGAGCAAAGAACACTGACTGCAGAGCTGATACTGGAAAATAAAGCTTACATTATTCATGCCCAAATAGACTTACAAGACACTGTCACTAATATTAGTAAAAAGGTCTTAAAGGTCCAATCAGTGAGATGTGTAGAGAGTGAAATGATAAAGTGAGCTTACTATCTGATCAGACATTAAGGAAACATGTTGAAGTGCTTGCTTCTCTGACAACAATGCAGCAGCCAGTATGTCCTCCTTCTAACTTTAGATTCTGCTCCTGAATGCTCTGGATTTGTTTGGACCAGAGAAGGTAGGCGCTTTTAAGATAAACCCCCACGCGGCCGTTTTGGACGCCCCTCGGTTTGTCAGATATGAGAGCAGTTATGAGGTCAAACCAACAGGTGTTGCAGTGATGGAAGCGGGCAAGAGAAGTGGTTCAGATAGAAGTGATTGTACCCGACCTAAAAAGCCTCTGCATGTTTCTAATAAGCTCCACGAGCAGAAACGTGCTCAAACTAGGATCAATATTGGAGATGCTTTTGAAAAATGGAGAGAGGTTAGAACACAGAAAGGTTTACAGACCCATGCAGAGCTGGATAAACACTGAAGCTTCAGTGTCCACCACATGGTGACCTGTGTGAGCATCCACTCTAGAGAGGAGGGGGGGGGGGGGACAGCTCTCTACAATGTTTAGAATTTGGACTGCAGTACCCATTTTAAACACTAGGGGTCAGAGTTACATACTGCTCCTTTAATTTACATTTTAAAAACCTTTTAGATGTTTAAAAAAGGGCCTCACTTACCTACAGTTATCTCAGCGATCGGGAAAACTAAAAGGAGGAGAGAGGTGCATCCTGAAGGAGGAAATACAGATCAGGATTTAGATTCAATGTTTAAATATGTAGCTCTACTTTCTGGGGGTCATTATATGAAATAACTTACCTGCAATTATCACAGTAGCACTTAAAAAGTTACACAAACAGACGTAGCGGAGGTGTGGCGACATTTTGTCCAGGCTGAAAGAGAAAGAGGTATGCTCCATCAGGACAGGTGAACACAGAACGAGTCAGTTTGATCCTTTATTTGTTAATGAGATAAAAAATAAAAAGAAGAGTTAAATGTGAGGAGTATCTCACCGTCCGTCTTCTCTCTGATCTGTTGAAGTAACTGAGTGTCAACTTCAAGGTTGTTGGCCAACTCTGCATGTCTCAACTCTTCAGTGTGTCGGTAAAGAAACACCCCAGGAGGGAGCATGTAAGACAGGATTTTCCCCTGTTGAGTCAATATCACAATATTACTGCAATACTTCTACAACTGTTGAAATGATGCTAAGTGAAAGGAAGCACAAAAACTTCACATCCTGAGAATCCTCACAGGGCTTAAAAAAAATCCTTGCAAGGATTTTTAACTTCTGAGTGATTGAGGAACTTTCTCAGGTCGACTCTGAGCGAGCAAGAAACTTTCATCTAAGTGAGGAGGCGTGGTCGACCCCGTTGCTAGGTAACATAGGAGGCGGACACATCTGGCTGCAGATGTTCTCCCTGATGTGTTGATGATTGTGAGCAAGCTTGATGAATATTTACTGTTTACATTTTTCCTTTTTTTTTTTTTAAATCTTTTGATGTTTATAATAATGTGTCTTTATTATATCTGTGTTATATCTGCTTTATTATATTCCGGTTGAGAGACAACCGACTTTACCACTGAGCCACAGCCGTCCTGACAAACAACACAAATCAACACATGTCATCATATTTCCTCAACATACTGGCTTTCATTGTGTTTGAAAATATCACGTTTGATTTAGATTCTTTGGTTTCTCTGTTGACATTGTTCCTTTAATTGGATGTTTTACCCTTAAAATAAAAACAAAGCATAGCACCCAAAGTCCAGAAGTCCATCATGATATGAAGTGTGTGTGTGTGTGTGTGTGTGTGTGTGTGTGTGTGTGTGTGTGTGTGTCAGGATTGAGGTCAGTGTGTTTTTTTATGTTGTTATAAGGGAGTGTTTTATTCTCCTGACCTCTGTCCTGCAGGATCTTTAAAACACTGAAGTCTTCTTTATTTCTGCCACATGCGCACTCCTGATTTTGATAGGAGAGGACATTAAGCAGTCCTCTGATCCTCTTCCCACTTCCTCTCCAAGCACCCCCCACCCCCCCCACACACGCGCACCAGCTGAGCAGCGGATCACATGACGGCTCGTCGACACACTCAGTACCCGCAGAGTGAGCTCTGCTGCCGGGGTCCGCTCTCTACTTCTGCACGGTCTCAGGGTAACAGGAACCAGAAGGTAAACACAGTTTTATTTACAGTCTGTCTCTGCTCCGTTTTCTCTCTCAGCTGATAAAAATAAAAACTGAATCCTAACGACAGGCTGCTCCGTTTCCGTTACACAATGTGCACCGTCAGCAGGATTAGTTTTCCACGCAGCTTCATCAACATCACACATGATGCATGTGCAGGTTATGGTTAGAAAACTGAGAAAAAGCAGCCTGATTATTAATGTTTCTGATTTTTAAAGATGCACTAAGTTAGTGCAGTCACATGATGGTTATCCGGTTTAACGTCCAGCCTTCAATGTTAAAGTTGAATCCAATAAACACATTCAGAACTGTTTATTTCTCCCTGGAGGAGTCAGCTGATTTCATCATTCATCCAACTGAAAGAAGTCAAAATGACAAAATATTCGATTGTAGGTGTGTTGTAGGTCCAGGGAAATCTTAATGTGATGTATTAAAGTCAGAATTCAGATTATGGAGAATTATGCACAGAGTCATTTTACATCACATGCCTGAGTATGAACATATAAAGTATAGGAAGTGTTTTTTGTCAAAGCCAGTTTCGATTCTAGAGTCTGTTGGGGGCCTAGGAAAATAATTTGTCGGCCCCTCCCACCAGCCTTCATCACCATCATGCCTGCCAGTGTCCGACTCTTACTCCTTTTTCTTCCTCTTTCCTTTTTTCCTCTCCTGCTGTATCAATGGACAATTCCTCTTCATTTTCCTTCAGAGAGTTTCTTTCACAAACTTTGGTTTTCACAGAAACAATGCTGCTACGCCGAGCGGGGCAAGGAGAGTGAGTGCTGTCAGACAAGGGCCCCTTAGGGAGTTTTCATACTGTCATTGGAAAATTTGCACATTTTGAGCCACTGCTGTAGTGTCAATTTTGTCAGCCCTCGAGGCCCCCCACTGAGCAGCTGCCTGTCTTGCCTGTGGACAAGCAGCGCCTCTGTGTGGGGGTCCCAGGCAAAAATCCCTTGGGGGGCCTCTAACCAGCGTTCAATACCATCATGTCTGCCAGCGTCCAGACGCTTCATCCTGTTACTATTTTATCCGATATCTTTGTTCCCTCCTGTAGACGGATTATTCCTGTCCAATGGGGCCTCTTTAGGAGGGTTTTCTACTGTCGTTGCACATTTTGGGCTCCTCCTGCTTTGGTTTGAGTTTGTGAGACGATAATAACCTCCATCAGAACTTTTATTAGAAACTTTATTCCTGTTGTTTATTTGGTCAGGAGGAATGTCTGCGGTGACGCTGAACGAGTGGAGAGCGAGGATTCGCACAGAGCTGGACAGCGTGGTCGACTTCTGGCTGAAATACTCTCACGACACTGTTCATGGGTAATGTAGTCTCTCTTCAATGTTAGGACTCTCGACAAGCTCGAAAAACTGTTTTACACATCACATTCAGACGGCGGTGAGCTCACGCTCTGGATGTGAAGGGTCAGTTCTGTAACTGAGCGCTGTGTGTCAGCAGTTTAGAATTAGAGATATGTATGTGTGTGAGTCTGTTTCCTGTTGATCATCTGAATGTCTGTTTCCTGTTTCAGAGGCTTCTTCACGTGCCTGGGGAAGGACGGGACGGTTTACGATGAGCTGAAGTACGTCTGGCTGCAGGGGAGACAGGTTCGACTCTTCAGTGTGACTTTAACTGAAGTCGTAGTTTTTCCTGATCAACAAACAAAATTCAAACACTGAGGCGGACAGGAAGTGGATCTTACAGAATCACGGTATCACACATGATGGTGTCCGTTTGTTCTCTTCTCTTTCTGCGTCCTAACTACCTGCTCAAATATGAAACTTTAATTGGTTCACAAACGCACCGTTTCCACCAAGCGGTCCGGTTTGGTACTATAAACCCTGATCTTGCTTGCTTTTCCACAAACAACCTTACTGTACTCTGGCCAGTGTAGCCAGCCGATAAGTTCAATGAAGAAGAAGAACGAGACACAGCTAACAAAGGGCGACAACGGAGGACGCCCGGCAGAGGTCGTCACCTCCGAGGTCATCTGTGGGGCGGAGCTTCGTGTTGACAAAAGTCACAGAACACATCAACAGCACTGAAATGAACCACTGGATATTTAAAGATGGTGCGTTTTGTGTTTGTCCTTTATTACAGCAGTCATACTGCAGCGTGTCTAGCTCAGTGGTTCCCAAAATGTGGGCTGCGGCCCCCTGTTGGGCTGTGTGGGTACTGCAGGCGGGCAGCGAAAAGCCCTCCACCAATTAAAATATAAAAGATAAAAGAAATAAAAATAAAAGAAATATCACAATAATGATGATTTACCATGAGTCAACCCTTTAAGGGATTAGTAAGGCCTGTCATGACTATTCATGGACATATTGTTTAGTAAACTTTTGTGTCTATCTTGCCATAATATCATGTTGTAATGTCCAATAATTTTACCGTTACTGAAAGTTATAGATGTAGTCATAAAAAAAAAATTATAATGGGCCCCGGAGTAATTTTGTATTTCAAAGCGGGCCGCGGCAGTCTTAAGTTTGGGAAAGGCTGCTCTAGCTCCTGTTTAGGGTCAGATTGGTACGCTTGGCACCCCAACAGAAAAGTAGCAAGAAAGAAGGACGACAAGGATCGGTTATTTTGGTTTGACTAACAACTTCTGACAGTGGAAACGTGCAGAAAATGCGTAGCATAGCGAGCGGAACTGAACCGGACTGCTTATTGGAAACACAGCTAAACTGCACAGTTCAAATGTAGCCACACATCTTAACAAAATACCAACATACTTGAAAATGTTAAATTTGTGCTAATAGATGGAACTTTGTGCCTCGTGTCTCTCGCAGGTGTGGATGTATTGTCGTCTGTACAGAACCATGGATCGATTCCACAGGCCCGACATCCTAGAAGCAGCAAAAGCCGGTGAGTGTGAACGTGACGCAGGACGATGACTGACGCAGTGAGACGGAACAAAGAGAGCAGTGTTCAGTTAGGAAGTCTGTGATGGTGAGGGAAAAGAGCGTCTTCTGTTTAGTCACGGCTGCATCGTTTGAGGATTTTAAAATAGCTTTTACCGTTAAAGCCTGAGTGAGTGAGGAGAAGGTAAATAACACCTCCAATAGAACAAAAGACTCTTTTATAGACCAGAGATACATGCACATTTTTACATTTTGTATATAGATTAATTTAGTTTGATAGCAAAAATCTGCAGCCTGTTTGTTTAATGAAATCTGCTCAATAAGGAGCAGACCAAAAGCATAATCTGCAGGGCTTTGAAAACTTCCTGAATCCTCCATCACTAAAGAGTACGACCCAGCGCCCCTGCTGCCTGTGCCTGACCCACTCTCTTTCTAACAGCTGAGCCGGAAGACGAGCCCAGCATCCTGAACCTTCAAGACCACAACCCAAACAGCGTTTCAGATGTTTCATGTGACATAGCTACACCTGAGCTTATCGATTCTGACGAGTCTTCAGCTGACTGTGAGACAGAACTACAGATGTGTTTTTGTGTGCTCTCACACATTAACCCTCGACTGTGTCTGTCCAACAGATGGTGCAGCGCAGTGTTGTTTTCTGAAGTGATTATTGACAGCCATGATGGCCGTGTTGTCTCTGCTCTGTCTGATAATCATTACAGACCTGCAGCAAAGTGCTCAACAAATCGCCACTGATCCGCAAACTTCCACATGGTCAGGTTCTAAGAAAAAAACAAGCATTCAGTTTAACCAGCGTTTAATTATTAATGGAAGCTTTTAGAAAGGGTGTTACAGGAAAAAAACACAAGTAAAAAGACAAATAAAAGCACAAAGACGAACCAAACTAAGATCTGGTGTTGTTCATCTTTTACATTTTGTTTTTTTAGATTTAATTTGGGGATTTTTGAGCCTTTATAGTAAAGACAGGACCGTGGATAGAT